TGTGTGTGTGTGTGTGTGTGTGTGTGTGTGTGTGTGTGTGTGTGTGTGTGTGTGTGTGTGTGTGTGTGTGTGTGTGTGTGTGTGTGTGTGTGTCAGGGATCTGAAGCTGGACAACGTTATGCTGGACGCTGAAGGCCATATAAAGATAGCCGACTTTGGCATGTGCAAAGAGAACATGTACGATGGAATAACCACAAAGACCTTTTGCGGGACTCCAGACTACATCGCTCCAGAGGTGTGTTCACATGCTCTTTCTTTATATGACATCTTATAAGTTCTGAAAAAGCCTCACATCTCAACTGGTGTGTCTTACAGATCATAGCTTATCAGCCTTACGGAAGGTCTGTGGACTGGTGGGCATTCGGAGTACTACTCTATGAAATGCTTGCTGGACAGGTGTGTATCCATTTGCAGCTCTTATTCTACTTTTTTTAAGAAGAATTGTGACAAGAATAATGAGGAAGTATATTTGTGCCCATCCAGCCGCCTTTTGACGGAGAAGATGAAGATGAGCTGTTCCAGTCCATCATGGAGCATCACGTCTCCTACCCTAAATCCATGTCCAAAGAAGCTGTTGCTATCTGCAAGGGGGTGAGGGCACACGCTCAAATTCACATAAACACATAAGAATTCCTCTAGTAGTCCCACAGAGGGGAGTTTACATTGTTACACAAAGAGACAATACTGATAAAAAAGGATTGAGTAAAGTGGCAAGCACACACTAATACAAATTTAAAATCAAATAATAATGACACATTCCAAGGATAAACAGCTAAGTAGCATTATACAAAAATGAGTGAAACAAGTAGAAATTAAACGAGTAGCTGCAGGATGACTGTAGTGAAACTTATACAAATGAATATTGCACAATGTTGTATTATAACATTTATGGCCTATTCACATCACTCTGAGTCTTTTTGCAGCTATACCAGAGCTGACTTACTGTATCCTTCCTCCCTAGCAATAGTAAAAGTGTGGGTTGCGGTGAATAGAGGAAACACTTAAATCTAACAATAAGTTTATGGGCTGGTGGTTTTTGGCAGTTGACATACATTTATTGAAGATTTTGACTATGATTCAAGTATAGGAATGTAACACAGTAATATTTTTTGTAACTAAATACTACAGTTTGCCTGCTTCATCAACCCCTCCCATTTAATGCCTGGTTCCTGCATTTAACGGATGCTAGTGTCAAGGTATTTGTCACAGAATTCGCAACAATTTTCCAACCCTTCTCACCTTTTTTGTCTGGGTTTGATTTCAGCTGATGACAAAGCACCCGGGTAAGCGTCTGGGCTGCGGTCCAGAGGGCGAGAGAGACATCAAGGAGCACGCCTTCTTCCGCTATATAGACTGGGAAAAACTGGAGAATATGGAGGTCCAGCCGCCTTTCAAACCAAAAGCTGTGAGTATAGTACACACACATCTTTTTCAGCTGTTGTATATTACCTGAATGTCACTGCTTACTTTAGAAATAAGTCACAGTAAGGAAGGGAATAGCAGACTTAGACAAACTTTCAAGGTAAGTAACAGTTTAGATCGCTCATCCCACAAACCCCACCATCACCTGCCATTGGTCACTACTCGGACAAATGCTGAGCTAAGATTTGTGAGTGTAGTCACCAATGATGAAGCTGAGATATCAGTGGCTCACATGCAGACCAATTGAAATCCACAGTTTTGGCTGTGAGCGATTTGATTGGTTGATGCCATGTTTTAGTTGTATTTCTCTTTTTTCTCTTTGTTTGTTGTTGTCTCTTTTTTTCTTCACATCCCTCATCCAACTCACTCCACCCTCCCCATCTCTCTCTCTCTCTCTCCACCTCTCTCCTCTCCTCTCCACGGCAGTGTGGGCGTGATGCGGAGAACTTTGATCGCTTTTTCACGCGCCACCCCCCTGAGCTGACCCCCCCAGATTCGGAACTTATAGCCAACCTGGACCAGGAAGAATTCCAAGGCTTCTCATTTGTTAACCCTGAGTACCCCGACAGCACTCAATGACCATGCCACACATCACTGGGCTGCACAAGGCAACCCCCCACACCTCAACACACATAATAAAAACAAACAAAAAAAATACCATGATGTCATATCCAGGTGAAACATGAAAGAAATAGTTCAGCATTTTGGGAAATACGCTTTTCCCCCCCTGAGACGTAGGAGAGATTATTTGTATCAATCTCATGTCTGTAAGAATGAGCTGGAGTCGGGAGGTGATTAGCCTAGCCTAGCATAAAGACTGGAAGCAGGTGGAAAGCGTTATAGAATACATAGTCTTACTAGTTCATCTAAATCAGCCAAACTGACATATTTGTATCTAGTTTGTTTAATAAATACATAAAGCAAGATTGCAAACAAAGTGTTTACATGCAGTATCTCATGTATGGAAATGAGATGAAATGTATTCAATTGGTAAATGTAGGTTATGTATTTGAGCTGTATTTTTATGGTAATACGTCTCACCTCTGGCTTCCACCATCTTTTTATGCTAAGCTAAGCCAATTTGCCTCCTTGCTCCAGCCCCGTACACTAGAGTACAGACATAAGAGTGGTAGGAATCCTCTCATCTAATGCTCTGAAAGAAATCAAACAAGCGTACATCCCAACATTTACATTCCTCTGCAAAATGTTCGGATTGAAATGCAGACAGGTGCTCAAACGCTAACAATCAGGAGAAATAATCACATATTCAAGTGTCAAGTTGCCAGAGACGAGCGGTGACACTGTTTGCAATTGACTGTGGTTTAGTTTAGCACGTCATGTGACACTTGCTGCTCTCATTTCAGCTCTACTGGCTGTATTTCTATCTTTAGTGTAGAAATGTTTGCTCGCTCCTGAACGCCGACCGGCTGCTCTCTGTGTCGCCCTCCCTGTGATTGCATATTGACAACCTAACAGTAATATTGATGAGTGTACTACGATCACATTATTTGGTAATATTCATACAGTGTAAGTGAAAACTGACCAACTGCTTTGCTATGATTGTTTGAGTGCTAAATCAGTTTCCTAATGTTACATTTATTTTGTCTATAGGACCAAATACTTCTGTTCAGTCGGTGTTGTGGTGAGTTTAAGATTTTTGCTGATAATTTTAAACCAGAGGATATAATACTTTATACGTGCATTCAGTGAGTGTCTGCGTCAAAATAGTGATTTTTGACTGAAGTCTCATCACCTTTCTCCTGAGTCATTACCGAAAGCATTAGGCACGTTACACTGTGTTTTTAACGACATATCTCTTAGCTTGTAAACAACCTTTTTTTGAGGGGATTATTTCACATATGACGAGTCTTGTGAAGCTTGTAGTTTGTTAGGATGTCCAAAAGTGCCAACATTGTGTTCAGAATCATGAGGATGTGGAAACGTATTGTCCTCAACTACTGTGATGAAGGGCAGCCATCTAGTGCCATTTTTCAGTACATGTATAAATATTAGAATATGCATTATAGCTCATCTGTTCTCCAACAAAACAATACTCTCGGAAAGTCATTTTCATATATGAAGTGAATGAAGGCGTGTGTTTCATTGTGAGGCAGGTTGTATTATCTTTTTGTAACTGTGTAACGATGCAGGGTTGTAACAAATGTGTCAAATCTTGTTCTTTGAGCTCGTATCAAAAAGGGAGGCGGCATGAAGTTGACGTCATAGATACAGAAAGATGCTCGCTGATAACAACACGTTTGATTCTGCCAGGTGCACAGACCATAAATCAATGGTCACATAAGGAGCGATATGACAGAGAAATATATATATATATATATATATGGAGTTCTTTATTAAGAGGGATATATGGATAAATAGTTTGGGATGAAAGAGATGCTTCTTGTATAATTGTCCTGTATGACTGGAAACTGATAATATACTCACTGGTGCCTACCAGACTACTTCTGCTGTGTCCGACTTGTTACTGCCGCTGCACCCAGAACGTGGACACATGATTATTGGTTTCTTGTAGACAATTCCACTTTAATAACAGGAAGCTAAGCTATATAGCTGTGAGAGAACTAGCTGTGATTTAAAACAGGAAACAGGAGGAAAACATTACGCGTTAAGTTTAGCTAGTTACATTTGTAAAAAAAAAAGAAGCTTGAAAACTACCATTTCCAATAAAAACTGATGTTCAAATATATTTACCCTGAGACTAATCTCTAACCGGGGATAAGTGGAGCTCCTCTTTAAGGTTTTTTAAATGTTCTCTTTACAAACATGTACAAGCTATTCACAGGCAGTTTTAAAACTGATTATAAATGTAATAAAACCTTAAAAAAAAGCTTGACCAATTCGTCAATCAACATAGTGTCTTATCCACCATTTATGAATAGCTAAATCCTGCATATGAAAGTTATATAATAGGGCTAGAATAAAATGTCATAAAGAAAACAATCACACATTACAGAGAAAAAAAAAATATGCAGCTTTCTAAATTCCTTTCTTAAAACGATGAGCTCAATGAGTGGGCAGTTCTTGGTCCTGTGGGAGGTGGGAAAAGTTTCCATCCGTTCCTCATATCAGCTGGAAGCCCTGTGATGAGACAGAAGGAGGAGGTAGGAGACCAAACGGTGTGTGTGTGTGTGTGTGTGTGTGTGTGTGTGTGTGTGTGTGTGTGTGTGTGTGTGTGTGTGTGTGTGTGTGTGTGTGTGTGTGTGTGTGTGTGTGTGTGTTGAGACAGAGTGTGTGTGTGTGTGTGTGTGTGTGTGTGTGTGTGTGTGTGTGTGTGTGTGTGTGTGTGTGTGTGTGTGTGTGTGTGTGTGTGTGTGTGTGTGTGTGTGATTCATGTGTCTTGCCTGGGGCTCACTGCTTCACTTCCCTGTGTGAAATCCTCTCTGGTCGTGGTTTGGTCTGCAGCTGGTCTGTTTTATCGATCCTTGTCTGTTCTGTACCGGAACGTTTTCCTCTCTCCGGCTTTGGAAGTTTGTCTTGGACTTTTCTGCATTTGTGCTGTTGAAATGTTTCGGTGGGTCTTTTTTCTTTCGACTGTGTCTCTGGGTTTTGTCTAAAAGGTGTGTTTTTTGTTTTGTGTTGACTTGCTCCCCCTGTCCTGTACAGAAACAGTGGTGTGTTTGGCTGAGTCTAAACCTTTTGTGGTGCCACCATTTACAGATGATCAGAGGTGCGGACTAGACTGTATTCAGAGTCAACAATACAATAATATAAATGCGACTCAAATTACAATTTAACACCAATGACACAACTCCTCTTAAGGAAGAAATTATAAAAAATATTGATGATATGCATGTATTCTATGATTTGGTCAAACCCCCAAGATGTACCTGATCATTTTGCTTTGAAATATAGGAAGACACGTTCTGCTTCAATGAAAAGAGACATTAAAAAGACAAATTGAATAATGAATTTTTTAGGACCCTTAACTCTACATTGAAGACGTTGACTTGGGACGTTAGTCGACACTTTATAGACTTGTGGCTTGTAAATCAATGACCTTGTCCCACCTCTGCAGAGTATTGTCTTTCCATGTGTTGAATCCATTAAACCTCTCATGCCTCATTCTCTACCATCCATCTTTGTGCTTCTATGGGATAGTTGTTATTTTTGCTTGTTGCCAAACTTCTTTCTAAACTGCCTTTTTAACGCTGTGCTAATTCACTTGTAATTCTTTTTTTTTTTACACATTCTCTTTTCTTCTCTTTCCGTTTGACAGAAGTCTCGCCGGGACGTTGGCAACTTCGATAAGGAGTTCACTAAAATGGCGGTGGAGCTGACACCCACAGACAAGCTCTTCATTATGAATCTGGACCAGATGGAGTTTCAAGGCTTCTCCTACACCAACCCCGAATTCATCATTCAAGTCTGATGACTTCCTGTTGGTTAGACGCAGCCAGAACATGACTTTACTCCAACCCGTACAGCTCAGTTACATCCATCAAGGACTCATCCTGCATCTCTTCCCACTGAAGTCTCATTTACATCGTCAAACCTACCAGCATCTAAATCAGACAATAATGATAAACAACCACACTGGCTTTATCTGCTGGTGGCTCGCACTTACTGGGACTACGTTTGACCAGTCACCATGTGGTCCAACAGGCCAGTGTGCGGAACACTTCAGGCATGTGTAGTATTCACAGGAGCCAGTGGTGAGCAGGTCAATACAAAGATCATAGAGTGAATGTGTAACTGTGTGAACATGCTCTTATCGATCAGCAACTGTGTGTGTTTGTTTACTTGATTTCTTCTCCGACCTGTAAAAGTTATGTCATAAACATTCCATGATCAATATGCCATGTATGTGCTCACACACATACACACATACACACATGCACACACACACACACACACACACACACACACACACACACACACACACACACACACACACACACACACACACACACACGCGCGTACAAACGCACACACACTTGCACACATCTGCAGGCAGTGGTTTGGAGAGAAGGAAGGTCTTTGAAAGTCCTGATTTATGACCTCATGTCTAAGTTAGTCCTGAACTTAGTCTTAAGCACGTCTCGTCTTCCGAATTGATGCAAAAAAATAAGAAACCCCAGCCCCGATGCCTGTTTGGCAGAGATATTTAAAAGTGTCTTTTCTCTTGCTTAATCTCTCTCTTTTCTCTATGGCACTGTGTGCGCAGTGGGTTAGTGCTGTGTAGGCCTATACAGTCTTTGTGGTGCTGCTCCTCTATGCATGCCATAATTGTTGGTACAGTAGTTCCCTTAAGTTTATGTTAGACATCAACGAGGAAGCGAATACCTCTGGTGTCTTGATTTTATCGATGCAAGTCAGTTTTGAAGTACCCATGCTCAAATGTGAGTTTCCTCTCAGAATGCTGTTTCTCTAATAATGTTGACATATGCTAAAGAGTTTGCTTTACAAAGCAGCAGACATTGTTTTGCTGTCCTTGACAAGAAAATATGAGATTATGTGAAATGAATATATAAAGTAGATGTAATATGTATGACTTGTGTTTCAGTGTATGTGTAAATAAGAATGAATCTATGGCTAGAAAAGGTTTTCATGTTCTAAAACACTTCAATACTATTCTTCATATCTCCCTTTCTCTCTGCTCTTCCTCCCTGCCAACACTCAGCTGTCACTTTTACTTTCCCTATTTTTATATCTCCCCTTCTCCTCCTCTTCCTCTCTTGTCCCCAACTCACGTTTTTATCAGTGCAATTTGAAGGAACTGGAGAATTAGGGAAATAAGACAAGAGGGAGAGGGGGAACAGAGGGGAGAATAAAGTGTTTACTATGCAAAAGGCAGGCGAAGAAGAAGTAGAGAAGGAGAAGAGGGCAACTTTTATAAAGTAACCTGAAGAAATTGTGTAACCGCAGGACAGTATACATGTGTTGCATGCGCCGTCTTAACCCTACGTGTGAGAGACGCGTAAAGTATGATACCTACATTAAAGTGAACTATCATAACATTTCAGTAACTCTGGCTCTTGTGTTTTACTCTGTTATCAGATCGCATATTACTACAAAAACTGCATTTTTCATATAGGACAGAAAGACATATTAAATGTTTATTAAAATACCTTTAAAGGCATTAGACTTTGGTCAGTTCAGAAATATTTGTAGTAAACTATTTTCATTTTGAGCAGTGTTTAACATATTTTATGATAAATATGAATATACAGTATGTAAGTAGTTCAAAGATTGATAAGCTATTTTCAAATATATACAGTATATACGTATATATTTCACAAAATTTGAAGTTGATGAACTGTATTTCAATAGCTTTGTTTTTCATCCAAATGTTCTGTTGGCGTTGATTGCTTTGTTTTCTTTAGAAATGCTCACTCACTTTATATTTAGAGCCTTAAATATTCATATTTTCATTTACTTCTATATTCACTGAGGGGGGAAAGCTTCTCTCCCATTTGGTTGATGTGACCCTGATAAGCATATGAACAACATTTGAGTAAACAGCCAAAAGGAAAATCTTCAGAAATGTAAAGGAAAAGGGTTTAAAAATGAACTAACCTGACATGACTTTTTTAATGAAATTCTAAGGTGGGTATTTATAGGTTATAGCAAGTAAATGTGGCATGCATGTGTACAGTTATAACAACTATAACAAGTTATAACAAGGTAACTAATTAAATAATAACTACTTTGCCGCTGTCCATGGTGCTGAAGGGCTACAGGTTTCGGTGACCACACACACACACACACACACACACACACACACACACACACACACGCACACACGCACGCTGGAGGGGTGGGATCATCGTTCAGTTAGTGCCACACAGAGGAGAGCTTCAACAAACTAGAATGTGCCAGAAGGAGCTGCTGTTGTTTATCGTTTCTTCCACTTTTCCTGTTTTTTTTCTGATTTTGACAACACATGGAAACACCTCAACTCAGTGCACAGAGTCTTTTGCGTGCAGCTTAGAGTAAAAAGCTGCAGAGTTAACCAACTTTACGAGTAGGTTGATTCAGGCTGAAGAAAATGTGCACCAAAACTGAGTTTCCTTCGGCAAACTGGATCTACACGAAGATAAAACACCGGGGGAAAGTTTCTAAGCGGATATAAAGCCTGTATTATCGCTAGAGGACTCCTCGGTGAGGAGGAGGCGGGGCCGACATGAGGCTGTTTGACCGGGGGATGATGATGCTGCTGACCACAGCCGGAGCTTTCTGCGCCTTCAGCCTCATGACCATCGCTGTGGGCACGGACTACTGGCTGTACTCCCGCGGGGTGTGCCGCTCCAAGAACCTGAACGACAACGAGACGGTCCGCAAGAACGAGGAGGTGCTGACCCACTCCGGCCTGTGGAGGACCTGCTGCACCGAGGGTAGGAAACTAACTCAACACAAGTTCACATTTATCAGATTCAGAAACAGGTTTATAGGTTGACACGTAGCCTACGAGGAATTTGACTTGACGTCGTGGTGCATGCATAAAAGTTAAAAAAAAGTTAAGACACAGATAGAAAACTATATTAAGAAAACTATAATGACATTACAAAATGTAAAAAAAAATAGCAGTATTTACATTTAAATGGAATTGGATTATATACAACCATACGCATTCGCAAGTGTATTCAAACTCATAGGATTCTTTTCAGTATAGCAACATTATTTTCATGTCAGTACATCAATTCATATCAGATGACAACATAATAATACAAAAACATAGTACATGATCGTTTATAGTGGATTTATTGATATTTAGTAAGAAATACACTATGATACTTAAACAAAATGAAAGTAAAAGTACATCATATCTGTGATTTAGTATCAAAAGTATGGCCAATGTAAATGTTATATTACTATTTTCAGTTTTGACTAGGATTTGGAGAAGTTGTTCACTGTTTTATTTAATGATGAGTCAATTATATGTAAAATCCTTATCTGTAAAGTGACCAGTTTGAGGTAAAAATCTATATATATTTTTTGCAGTGGAGTATGTGAAAGGCAAACACTCAAATGAAGTAAAAATGCATGAAAGTGTACTGAAGAACAGCAGCCTTCTTAAGTAAATGTGAACCTATCTCTTGAGTTTGAGTGACGTTCAGCATTTAGCTCACAAACAGTGGTGAATAAGATCCTTTTTTTTGTTTTACAAGCAAAATACAGGATAAACAATAAATAAATTAAAGTATACCAAGTTATTAATAAAATGTCACTGTACATCTTTTATCAGTCAGCAAGTAAAATGCATTCCTTTAAAGAAATGTCAAACTAGAGTTCAAAGTAAGTTTCACACCATTGAATAATACACATTTGGCTGATATTGAGAGCAAAAAAACAATAGATTTTCAAAAGCAGTGATAGTGAAGGTAAGTCTGTTCCAAAGTATGTAATCTGAAACCTGACCCTAACTATTCTTTATCAACCACCCTTTTGAACAAAAAGCACATTAAAGAAACAACATCAAAAACATATTTTAGGCTATTTAATTCTCTTCATGTCGAATAAGCATGGGAGGTCTTCAGAGTTAGAGTTTAGCTCAGATGAATTTATGGTTCGATTTAGATTGCTGTTCACATCTTGGTGAGGGAGAGGAGTTTAAGTCTTGGATATGTGATGTATGGAAATTACATTTTCAATTATTCATTGCTTTTTAATAGACCCCTCTTTCTCTCATTCTTTATCCTCGCTTGGCTTTGCTAACTTTCTGAATGAAATATAAATGTAAAGCTCTCTCCCACCCTCTGCTGCCGCCGCCTCACTATCTCTAAGCCCCAAAATAGTTTAATGGGAATACAATTAAAGCAGGCAGAGGACATAAATGCCTCAGCTGTGACGTCATGCCCATCAGTCTGTGTCCCACAAAGCCAGAAGCAGGCAGGCAGGCAGTCAGACAACAGAACGGGACACGGAAGACTATTGTGTGCCATAAATAATTATAGGATGTGTTGATTTCTTTGGGATAACATGTGACAACAACAATAGAAATGACATGACAACATATCAGAGAGACAGATACAGTATAAAAATGCACAATGACAGACACGTTTGACGACTGATTGTGTGCACTACAGACAGACATTTATACTGGGATATTTAATGACAATTGCCCTAAAAATAGTCAACATTTAAGAGACGATAGCTGATAATATAAGTGCTAAGAAAGCATCTATTTCAGCTAAGACTGAGACAAATATGCAACCTAATTTGTTTTGACGATCATTTGAATAAAGTCTTTTTGTCTTCTTTCTTTGACATGTTCACCGTGAACGAGTTATGGCCTGCTGAATGAGTTTTGTTTTGGTTACCACGGCAACAGAGTCACATCATCAATACTGGTCAATCCCTGCAACACACAGGGACACATTTATCAATACACCCCATTTTGTGCAAATGTTAAAAGCCGTCACTGGGCCAGAGGTTACTGAGAGCAGGAAACCAGCATGCAGGCAGATGAATTCAAGTTCACTTTAAAATACATCAAAGCCACCCAGTTAAAGTAGTGGTAGTGCTATGATGTGTTGGACTATTGACTATCTGTTTTATGGTTTGTGTTCCTGTCAATATATAGAGCCAGTCTTGGTTTACATGCATATATACACACAGTCAAAAGAGATCAAAAGTAAGAAAAAACAAACAAAACAACAAAATAAAAACAATTGAAACTAGTATACGTTATATAACAAATGATTTACATGAAATCTGGATACACCAAAAAACTACGTGTAAATAATCAAATAAAATATGTGCAGTATTGTTATGGAAGTTGTTAGGGATTAATTCTGTCTTACTCCTAGATATTTAACCTTTTCTGTGTGTTGACGTTTACGACCAACCCTGAGTCTGTTATTTCTCTTAAGGAATGGGAGGCTCCAGCTATCTTGATAAACCAGTTCAACTCTCGGTCACAAAATGGTTTACGGCTGTGGGAACGCTGGCTTCGAGGCCATTAAGTGTCAGACACAAGTGATTCAGGGTGCCCAGCTGTTTAGTCTATCTCCCCAAATATGTTGTTTACTCTCTCTGAACTTAAAAGGTCTATCGAGAGAGAGGCGTGGCAGAATTTATGTGGCAACCCACCCGTGCAGTCAGAGCCTCTGGCTGCTCTGTGACTTGCGATGTGAATTTCTCCGGTCGATACTTGTAATAAACTATCAGTGTTTGACATCAAAGCTCCAACTCTCCTCGTGTCTCTCTGAGTCCTGACTCTCCATTGCTGCAGAAGTTTCCCTTACAGAAGTTATTTGATAACATTCATACGTTATCTTATGTGAGTTTCTATATAGAAAACCCTCACTTTAAAAAGAAACATATTTAGTCTTAATTGTGTGCTACTGTAGGTCAGAGACCCTGTGACTCTTTTTCATTTTGCAGTGTGAATGTGATGTTATAAATACATTACAGAGCAGAGTGACACAGAGACACAGTTGTTATCTCATGAATGTAATGCATTTCTTTTTCTACAGGGTCTTTTCAGGGCGTTTGCAAAGACATTGATCACTTTGCTGAGGATGGAGACTATCAGCAGGATGCTACAGAATATTTACTACGTAGGTAACACATGCACACATGACTACTTCTAACAAATATATTAACTGAGGTGTTCAAATGTAAAAATATATCCTATTCTCTCAACTTTTTCTCAGGAGTAGTTCGAGCCTCCAGTCTCTTCCCTATCCTCAGTGTGGGATTATTATTTCTCGGAGGTGTGTGTGTAGCGGCCAGCGAGTTCTACAAGTCACGTTACAACGTCATCCTCTGCGCGGGTTTACTCTTTGTCTCTGCAGGTCAGAAACACACGCAAATCTAATACATACCAAGAGAGTTACACACATCCACAGACAATTACACACACATACATACACAAAGATACATAATTAAAAAACATATACAAAATGACATACACAATGATACATACACACAAATACAAAAACAGATATACAAATACATGCACACAAAAATAGGTCCAAAGAATTACGTTCACAAATAGATACAAAATACAGGTTTGTCTACAGGGGTAATATATGTTGAAACAATGTTGTTTTAGTCTTAGCCATTGTTTGATACCCAAAATATAAACATTCAAATTGTGTTGCATTTTCAATTAAGTTCAAGTTTAACATATTTACAGTCTTTCAAATATCAACAGCATTTACCATCCGTCTGACCCTCTCCATCTCTCTAAATTCTTCCAGGTCTCAGTAACATTATTGGCATTATTGTGTACATATCAGCCAACTCAGGGGACCCCAGCCAGAGCGACAACAAGAAGAGCTACTCCTACGGCTGGTCTTTTTATTTTGGGGCTCTGTCCTTCGTGCTGGCTGAGGTGGTGGGCGTCCTTGCAGTGCACGTGTTCATAGAAAAACACCGACAACTGCGCACCAAAGGCAGGCCGTCCATCAAGAAGCCGCCCATTTCTCGCAACTCGTCTTACCTCCGCAACCGTTACTACCAGAGACGCTCCAGCAGATACAGCTGCAGGAGCGCCCAGAGTGCACGGGACTCCATCTCACACTCCTTCAGAGCGTCCTTAATGCGAGACCGGGAGCCGTCCATCTGTGCTGAATCCAAATCCATGGCAGGTTTACCCATAGTGGACTCAGAGTTCTTGATCTACTCCTTAAACTCGTCTCTCAAGGACGATAAGATGGACATGGCTGTGGATGATTTGACTTCTCTGGTTTCCCTCAACAACACAGAGATGCTGCCTGAAAACTGTGCTTCCAATAGAAGGACAACTCCTGTGTGAGAGGAGAGGAAGTGAAGGATGTGCAGAGATGAAACACAAGAGGAACTTTCCTGGGACGAGAACATTAAGAGAAAGTCCTCTCACTTTTTTTTTGAGGAAACAGAAAAGGCCAAAATTGTCCGGCATAGACTTATCTGTCAGAAAATTGTGGAATCACAGTTCTCAGAGCCCAGCGTGACATCGACAAAATGTCCTGTCTGAACGGTTGAAAACAACTTATATTCATTTTAAAAAATGTTCTTTGTATGTCACCCTGCTATTACAGTAGCTATATCCACAGTGTATATGTAGTGTGTGTGCTAATAAATGGGTGTAATATTATGAACGTATGTATGTGACACACAGTCATGCAGAGAGAGACGAAGAGAAGGAGCTGTTTTTGAAATAAGAAACTATCAGATAGAAATGACAGGACACATACATCTGGGAATGACTGACATAACTTACTAAGTCCTGTTCTTGTCCTGCTTTTTGTGGACCTTAGATCAAAAGGGAAAACGTAATCAAATACATTGAACGCTAAGATCTCTCTCCAGCTGTCTCTCACGGTTTGTAGGTTTGAGTGTATTGTATCTCCTGTCAGCAAAACGTGTTGCCCTTACTACAGTTTTGTCATCAAGTCTTTGTTTACATTAAATAAAGTTTATAAATTAAGACAAAATGTCCGTGAAAAGGAAGTAAGTATGGTTCAGGTTGTTTTGTTGTTGCTTTGATGCATGGTCGTCCCTTTGTAAGAAAAAGTGGTGTGGACAACTTATCCAGATCATCATAGCAGAAAACTAAATATGTCCCTCCCCTGGGTGTTGAACCTCGAGCACCTGCATGTGTTTTTAAAACCACGAACGGGTGGAAGGCCCAAATATAGGTCTTGCTGTGATGCAATTTCAGTGAATTTGTACCTTTTATACACACAAAGAGCAGCAGGTATGGAGTACAGAACATGACACAAGTAACAAATAAATAAATAGATGCATAAATACAGAATAAATACAGGAATAAGTACAGGACTGAAATAATAAATAAATATGAAAATGTATAAACATAAGACAAAAAAAATATATAGGAATAAATAAATAAATGTATAAATAACAAATTACAAGTTGAGTATAAAACAGAACACACATTATTATATATCTTTAATATATTTCTACATTTATTTTCACTTAAATGTATGTATTTATTCATTTCTGTGTCTGTGCATGTTTCGCACAATGTTGTTTTGCTTGGTTGCCTTGTATTTTATGGATACGACAACATTTAAACCAAATCTACTTTCGAGTTCTCTGAAAGTTTCAACAAGCGCACGTGTCTGTTAAGCCCCGAGCCTGTTTTTCAGGTCTCAGGCTCGAAAATGACATTCCCAGAACAAATGACCATATCTTCCCTTCTAAAAGGGTTACATTTATAATCTTTTTTCTCAAAGCAAGGTTACATCTGTGAGTTGGATGTAGAAGTTTCAGAATCAATATAGATGTTTTTATTTTTAAGTAAAAAAATGTACTTAGCCTATAGTGAAAACCACCCTTGAATGATGGGATGGTAGACTAAAAGCTTTAGGAATCCAAACTACAACATATAATAAGTACCCTGTATCGAGATTGATGCAAAACAAGTGAAATTTGACCTTTTTAGAGAGATTTAGCAACAACAAAAAAACATTTCTGGGGTCATTTGGGTGGATTTTCCATGTCTCTGGCCCCCTTGGTCGATTTGGATGATTTACAGCCAATGGAATCGAGGGGAACTCCCACATACTCCTTATTTAGTAATGTGTGTGTGTGAGAGTGACGCATAGCCAAAACCGGAAGCTGCGATAACTCTGGTGGCTACCATTAGCAGCAAACTTTTACTCTCCGATTTTTACATAACAATGGAATTATGGATTATAAATATTTTTTTCAAAGCTACAGACACATTATCAACCTATGGATAAACCGATTCAGCCGCGTTTTTTCTCGTTTTAATGCCATTGAACACGTCTTTTGATCAGATTATCAGCTACGGTGAGATGATCTCCCGTAAAAACTCCGTAAAGGTACGTGTTGTGATGTCTGTGTTTGCTTCTCCTGTCGCGAGTTCGGATCGCTCAGTGATGATTTTTCATGATGATTTTTCGCTCAGGGGTCATTTAGATGCTTCTTATGACTTGTGTTTTGATTTGGTAAAAATGGTTTGTATCGTCAGTTAGCTGAGATTCTTCCCGTTAATCTGGTATAACACATTAATAGGTTCTTAAATATTAAGATGCCCTGACTGTCGTGAAAAAAGGGGGTCTTTGGGGCTTAACAGGCAATATCTTTGAGTTGCTATCATATTTTATTTCACTTCCTCTGACCAGTCCCACTTTTAATTGGACGCTCCATGAGAAACACAGTGACTCTCCTCTCTTCAATAAATATTTGAAAAGCTTACAACACCGGGAATTTCCGGCGTATTCATGTTCTGTATAAACTGTAAAGCCTCCTGAGACAAAAATACAATTTGTGATATTGGGCTAAATAAATAAACTCTGATTGAGTTTGATTGATGGATTTGGTGCAAGAAGTAAGCCTACACTTCACTTCAGAGCCCTCAAGAGCCAGATATAAATGTTTATTATTGTCAAAAATAGTTTCTTTATTAAAGGTTTTACTACTACCTAAAACTCAGTAACAGGAGTGTAAGGGATAGGATCCGGTTTGAGATCTTTGATTTATGCATGCTTTTTTTTTTGCATAATTGGACAGCCTTCTGGGGAAAACCTGGTCTGATTAAGAGAGACGGCATTCATCCTACTTTGGAAGGTGCAAATCTTATTTCGGCAAACATTTCAGGGCTTTGTGGACTTAATCCATGACAAACTGGAGTTGAGACCAGGAGGCAGAGTCGCAGTCTTACACGCTTCTCTGCGCTCTCTCCTAGGCAGTCATCCATAGGAATCCCGAACCCAATAAAATACCCAATATTAACGGTGTGTATGTCTGCCCAAGGACAATTTAAGGTAAAACCTAATAGAGGTGTCATACATAATAACCTAATAAAAGTAAATGTAACAACTACTACAGTGCAACAAAACAGGAAGATTAAATGTGGTCTCTTAAACATAAGATCTTTAGCATCTAAAGCAATACTGGTAAATGATTTAATATCAGATTATAATATTGATATATGCTGTCTCACTGAAACTTGGTTGAGACATGAAGAATATGTCAGCATAAATGAGGCCACTCCACCCAGCCATATCAATACTCATATTGCCCGAGGCACGGGCCGAGGAGGTGGAGTTGCAGCAATCTTTGACTCAAGTTTACTTATCAACACTAAACAAAAATTTAATTATACCTCCTTTGAAAGCCTTGTTTTTAGTCTTACACATTTTACAGCCAATCTTATTTGTTACCGTGCACCAGGTCCTTATTCAGAATTCTTATCAGAATTCTCTGAGTTTTTATCAGCTTTGGTACTTAAAACAGATAAAATAATTATCGTAGGTGACTTTAATATTCATGTTGACGATGATAAAAATAGCCTTACTGTTGCATTTAACTCTATATTAGATTCTGTTGGTTTCTGTCAGAGTGTAAATAAACCAACCCACTGCTATAATCACACTCTTGACCTTGTTCTGACTTATGGTATTGAAATTGAGCAACTATTAGTCGAACCGCATAATCCTGCTTTATCCGACATTTCTTTGGTAACTTTTGAAGTACTGTTACTAGACTATAAAGCATTAGTCAAAAGCTCCTGCAGCAGAAACCTATCTGTTAGTGCTATAGCCAAATTTAAGGAAGAGATTCCACCAAATTTAACTCGATAGTGTTAGAAATTAAAATCAATGTTGATATGGCGTAATTTGAATTAAATACACTTTTTGATTTAAATCAGTTTTATTCTGAAAAACCGAAAGTTCTCACTATTAGCTTTACACTTTTATTCTGAAAATTC